TTTCGGTGTCACAATGATGATTTTGTACAACTGTTTTCGGCCGAAAACAGTTGTACAAAGACAGTGATTATAGTCGTTTTTTTTTTGGTAACTCATCTGCATCTCTTAAGTTGGCAGTTACTAGTTAGTACAAGTAGGTACAATACTTCCATGTTTGAACTTCAAAATGTCAGTCTTACTACGCTGCCAACCTAAAACTTAACGGCATAAAAAGTGTTCCCAACATAAAACATGTTAGTTCTAATGTTCCCTATAGTTTCTGATAATGATTTTTTAATTAAATTAAAGCACCGAAATAGAAAAAATAGTATGAAAAACGCGTGTTACAATGCTTTATTGTAATACTCCTATCTTGCGGACACTCGTGGCTACGCTTCGCGTCGCCACTCGTGCCACAAGATAGTCGTATTACAATAGGTCGCATTGTAACACTTGTCTTTCAATATACTATTTTCTACTACATCGTACCTTTCATCATGCGCTAAAATGAGCCGTTAACATAAATCTTTGCGCATTATAGTTTTTAAGAACCTTTTTTAGTACCTATAGAACTAGAACGCTATTCATTTTAAGAAGGTAGCGGTAGAAAGCATAGGGACAGTTTAACCTTCACTATGATTGGTTAAAATACGAGTCACTATTACCCGGAAAAATAAAACGAGCGACGAATTCTGTCTGTTAGAAGTTTCAATTACGAACTAAACTGTCGAACTGTCATTAGCTGTCAATTTCAAAGATCCAAGCGTGATATCGTTTGATTTATAATTATATTTTCCAAATTTTGTGCCGTTTTATATTTTTCCTGTGTGTGTCGATCTTCAAACACAGCGCCATCTACTACCTTCTTATAATGAATACCTGCAGTATATATATGGGATGCGGTGAAGTTATGTTCTTTCTAATTGTGCAATTTTAACTCGGTTTGCAATAATCGCCAACAACTCATAGGTATTAACTTACTAAGTTTGGAGTTGATGCATTAAGCCGCAATGTAGTTCATCACGATCCTCGAGATAGTTTACAATTTTGTACTGCTGTATGTCTGCCCGTCTGCCTGAGCACGATAACTTTGTTTAGAAACGTCCGGTCGCTTTGAAAGTTGGTATACATGTTCTTAAGGATATAAGAAAGGTCGCTATTGTTTTTTAGTTACGTAGACTAACGGGCTAAACAGTTACAGCCCAAAAACTGCTCGAACCTTCAAAGAATGGTATCTTTTATAATAAATTCGTGTTACAAAGAACATATAAATGCTCGGTTTTCTGTATCAGTAAATATTCATTAAACCTCAAACAATTTTGAAGATGAAAAAATAATATTGCGCGTGCGCAATCTAATTTTTGTATTTGTCAAGTTATTTAAATGAAATTGTATGTACGCACCTCGAGTAAAAGTAAAAGTAATGCTAATGTGGATATCAAAAGAACTGAAATTTCACGTAGAATCCAAAAATGTAATAAAAAATAGGGGTTGCTATTTAAAATAACGAAGTTACTAGCCACTTCTTGTATTTCCGGAAGTGCGTCCATTTTCAAAATATTTTACATCGATTCGGCCTTCGGAGTAACAAAAAAACACCCTGTATAGTGTTTCTGAAACACTATAATGGCGCAAAGATTTTTTTACGGTGCATTTTAGTGCATGATGAAAGGTACGATGTAGTAGAAAAAAACGTGTTAAAAAACGTAACTTTTGAAAACGTTAAGTTAGCCCCCCCCCCACTTTTTAAAAATTTTTTATGGCTTAACCGTAATGGCGCTAGCTTTAATTCAAGTGGCGCAATTGAGCGCATAACCAGATGTATCGAGTGGCACAAATACCGGTAGCAAAATGCGTTATGGGGGGTTCCGTTCACTTGGCCCCTCCCAAATATATTTAAGGATAACCAAAAAACAAGAATGGCACAAAGGTATCTTTTTACGGCGTATTTCAGCGCATACCTGACAGTACAATTTCGTATGAAAAGGAACTTTTAAAAACGTTAAGTTGGCCCCCCCACTTTTTGAAAATTTGTCACGGCTTAACCGTAATGGCGCTAGCTTTAATTCAAGTGGCGCAATTGGGCGTATAACCAAATGTATCAGGTGACCTAGTTACAAGAGACAAAATACGTACTGGGAGGGGCTACGTTCACTTGCCCCCCCCCCCAATGTTTTTTCGGATTTCTAAAAAACGATAATGGCGCAAGAGTTATTATCGGTGGCGCATATGAGCGCATAGATTTTAAAATAATACAACTATCAAATCTCTCAGTGGGGGGGGGCCAAGTTAACGGACCCCAATTTATTTGGTAGTCTTCTGTTGAAGTTAACGTTGCCTTTATACAGGGTGTTTTTTTTAAGATGGGCCATACGACAATGTAAAGGCGTTGAGTTATTTAAAATGAGCCATAGGGAAAGTTACATTGCGCCAATTGTTTTCAAATCTTGGCCTTGCGCTTAGTTATTTCACTGAAATTCTCAATCTGATCCTTCAATCTGCATCAACGAAGCAACAACATGTATTCCGCCGCTCGAAAAGGTGTTCATGTAGTACCTACAATTTGTACAAGTGTGGGGTGGGCACAGTAGCTGATTGGCATGTGAGCTATTCAGTGCCGAGTATCGGGTATATTGTTTGGTTGCCGGTGGAAAACAATTCGAGTACCGATTGTAATTTTATACTTTTATATCTCATTTGAATAAATTTGTTGATTTAGAAACAATTTCTACAGTACTGTGGCACCTGATGCTATGTAAATTTCCCTATGGCCCATTTTAAATAACTCAACGCCTTTCCCATCTTAAAAAAAACACCGTGTAACATGTATTCAAAACGTATATCATCTACTTTGGTATACCTAATTGAGTTTGTATTAACTGAGAAATAGCGAAACCATAAGAACGAAATTTAGCGTTGTAAGAAAAAGCTATCAGCTTATACAAAGCAGATACGAACAATCGGCCAAGTGTAGGTAATTATTAAGTAGACTTCATGTGCATATGGTGCATTTCCGTTTAGCCAGGGAAATAGAATGCGGACCTGTAATGTATAGAATAGGTAGCCGAAGTCCTTAATCATTATACATATATAGCAGAACGGTAATAAAACCGTATTACTCGCTTAAAGTAACTTAACAGAAGATCGATAAATACTTACCTTAGCAGCGTTCATTTAGCGTTCGCAAAACGTTGGATTCGAATGCCGAAGGGATCATTCATTATTCAAAGGGAAATTCGACTAAATTGTAAGTACTTCTGTATTTGGTTGTTGATTTGCTTTTAGATCAGCTTTCTCATTCAATGTAGGCAAATTACAAACAATGTATGAGCAAGAGATCAATACTTAATTCAACAGGTGAAAAAATTGATTTGGTGCTTTCGTCTTTAATATAGGTACCTATACCGCGCTGTTATCCGACAGAAGATGAAAAATAGTATCTACAAAAAAGTGCAAAAGATGGAAATTTGGATATGCGGCTAACAAATTACATATTAGAAACCACAAACACTTCCGATTTTTCCTTGTGTATCCTCCCTGTAAAACAAAGAAAAAATGTAAAATGAAGGCCATGAAGAAAAGGTATCCAAAAGTAGTAATAATGAAGTAAATGCTGCAATTTATACTTACCTAATTAGTAAGACCCTGCTCCCTCCGTTGTCAGGGCCAGGATTAAAGACTGGCTGACCAGTCAATTCCAGGCTCAGTGGCAACAAGTAACCGGACTCCGACAGTCCAAGGCCTTTCTAACAGGGCCCCTTGGCAAATCGGGGTCTTCTAAGCGTCTAAAACTGAATAGAAGCCAGATTAGGAAGATCACAGGTGTCCTTACGGGGCACTGGATGGTCAACTATCACCTGCATAACATTGGGCTCGCAGAGGAGTCCACGTGCAGGTTCTGTGGCGAGGCAGATGAAACTACCGAGCATGCGGTCTGTCACTGTGACGCTTTGATCAGGGACAGATATCAACTCCTTGGAGACAAATATCTGGAACCGGAGAGGGTGAAGCAACTCCCCTACAAATAGAATAGAATAGAAAAGGGATACTTAATTTTGACGGTGCAATTGGCCCTCAATGTTGTGTTTAACAACCATAGTTTGTAAACTATTAAAGCTGTATATGCGCGAGAAGTGTAATAAAAATTTCAGTCGCTTTTTTGGAAAACTTGTCAATATTCACTGAGCTATAGGTACATTTCTGAAACTAATTACAGAGCGCGGCCATAGCTTTTAGGTAATTGTCTATACTTCACAAGTAATAAGGATCTAGTTCTTGTTCAACGGTCATTTCATCATTCCCAAACGCAATCGCTGTATAAGCGTAGATTTTGGGCAGAGTTCTACTTTACTATTTTTTTTTTAATGGCATGGAAGGTTAGGTATCCATTTGCCACAAATTGTGACGTATAAGATTATATAAGTTGGTCAACTTTGTAGGTACAAGAAGTTGCATAGTAACTCAAATATTATTTTTTGGTTAAGAGAAAGTAAGTGAGCAACATTAACCGGTAATTGAACGTTATTAAGTAAAATAATAATCCATTGTAAAGTAGTTCAATTCCATCATTATTTTTTGAGCACTTAAAGAAGATATGGTTCATGTCGCATGCAGAAGCATTATCGCATGAACACACAGCAGATGGAATAATGTGCAGCTTCGCGAGGTGAGCTGGGAATCTACCGTGGTTACATTTTAAGCGTGATATAGTAGCAGCTGTCTTTTTGGAGAAGTTGAAGGTGAATATATGTGGGATGTCTTTTGGTAAGGAAGGATGAAGGATTGCTATAGTTGGTTTTCACTAAAAAATCTCAAAATAGAACCTGACAGTAATTCGAGAACAAAAATAAGTTGCGTTGCAATTAAGTCTCAACATTGACACTGTCCTATCCCGGAAGTCGCTTGCATCTTAAAGACTCTGGCCGTGGAAGCCTCCGGTCTGGCGCATATTTAAGTTCTTATTTTAATAAACTGACGTTAATTTCAAATTTTCCGTAAAATAAAAATGTGTGTTGTTTCAGGGCCAGCAATATCTCTGGGGAACGATCACCATTTGAGGGATCCTGTTGCGGTTCGGGATATCACACTGTCGATTCAACTCCCTTAGGATCTCCCGAAGAGGCAGAGGTGCCAAAATATAGAGTGGTAATGTTGGGCGACTCCGGGGTGGGGAAGACTGCACTCGTTTCCCAATTTATGACGTCAGAGTATATGAATACTTACGACGCGAGTTTGGGTAAGTATTATAACCGTAATTTACAAGACCTTTAGCACAACGTTTTATGTGGAAACGGGGTTCAGCGCTTAACGCGAACCTGTTGCTTTCATTAATGGATTTACCACGGTTGAAAACCTACGTAAATTTTGTTTCCGTAGAACAAATGCCAACTTCTACTACGAGATTTCCCACGAATTATGCAAATGAAGGAAAGAAAAGCAATTAGGTATCATGAAGTAACATTTATCACGCAATGACCAATTAGAATCCCTTGTTCTTATCCAAAATCTCAAGCTAACTTCACAGTTCAAGCTTGCGCTACTCAATGATATGGCTACTCTATTTTGAACTCATAATAAAACCGAGTGAAGGGGAGAAAATAACTTCATTGATAAAAGTACAAGTCAGATGAAGTGATGCTCGCGTGACAAAATAATCAAGTCGTGAGCGACCATTATCACATGTTGTTCGCGAATTTTTTTTCATTAAAAAGACGGCCTTCAAAATTATTTGCCCCGCCCCCCCCCCCTCTCTCCCCATAATAAATAGTAAAACATGTCTATATTTTAAATGCGACGATGAATTTGTTCCAAACTTTCCATAGGCCTCCCTCTAGTGGTGTAAAAGTAAAACTTTTAAAAAAGAGGGGGAGGGGTGCTAGACATGCCCTATTTGGTTATTTGCTTTTGGATTTTTTTATGTAACTACACCCACACTAACATGTTTTACAATAGACTCACATAAGACTTGTACATATGTATTTTTTTCCAGATGATGAATTTGGGGAGAGAACCGTGTCTATCCTACTAGATGGAGAAGAATCCGAAATGATATTCATAGATCATCCAGCATCCGAAATGTCGGTAAGTACGGTAAAAAAGAAGTTTTGCCTTTCCAAATATACCACAATACTTTCTTATTAATAATAAATTAATAATAGGTAAGTACACATAATTGTACACAACTACCGTTGCCATGTTTCTAAAATATTTCTATAGTCACTAAGAGCGTGCTGTATTCCAGTGGCGTTTCAAACTTACGTTTTTTAACAAATGGAATATTGGTCTGCCTCTGTCCTGGAAACTACATTTTTCTGACATAAATAAAGTAGCCATGAAAATGAAAGTTGCGCTAAAAATACACTCCAAATACACTCAATATAAATATCTATTGACTATTGGTTTATTTTTGAAGACGAATCTACCCTAGATATTGTTAAACTACTCGCAATATTATATTGCCTTATGCCTTTTGACATACAAGTCGTGTTGCTTGACATAGGCGATCGATAATAATATCACGTTGCAGTATGAAATAATGTGGAATACATATTGGCCCATTGCTTCTTCCCATGCTAGAATGCTAGTTGTATATGCATATTGCTCCGGTGTGCGAGTCCCCTAAGACAATAAATTACCATAGAAAATTATGTGCAGCGTTTCCGTTGATGTTATATAAGTTCTAACTAAAAAACTAATAAATTAAAAAAAATTACATAACATAAAATTCTAGGGAAATTTTTTTACTTCTTTAAACTGCACTTTCGTGCAAAATGTTGACAAAATGAATGGAGAATTCAATTTTCCCTAGATATCGGAAATTCTGGAATAAATTTGTTTTCACAGCTATTGACATCGCCAGTAAGAAAGCTAATCAATCTAAAAAATGTTTGTTTGTATGTTACATCCTGTATGTGAGAAAATTACCTTACACAGCAGATACTTAGGTACAATGATTACATACAAATATAGGTTCTGTGATTTGAGCAGGACCATTAAAGGTGCCGCATAAATTGACCGGAATATACTACTTTTACTTACAATTTCAACATTAATTATACAATACATACTTATACATTTTCTTTTACTTCAGGTCGAAAACTCTCTTAGCACATATGAACCGCACGCATGTGTTGTCATCTACTCTATAGTTGCAAGACCGAGCTTCCAGCACGCAGAGGAGACTTTAAATTATCTCTGGAGAGAAGGTTATACTCACGAAAAAAGCGTTATTGTTGTTGGGAATAAGGCCGACTTAGCTAGATCACGTGTGATCTCTTCAAACGGTAAGTAAATTTGTCTACTAATTTAGAATTAAGTATGACTCGCTCATTTTACATTGTTTTTCTACCAATTACGGATTTATTCCTCATCCTTATAAATTCAAAGGCAAGGATTGCGCCATTGTTCAAATTCGTTCAATTTAATTGGAATGCTTTATTGTGTTTTCTGATTGTGCGGGATAAAAAGCTCTTCTCTTTTGTTGTATTCGTTTGCATTACATAGCGATATTCTACGGTTATATTTACGCTATGAAAAAAGCATCTCATCATTTTAAGTCTGTTGCACTTCGTTTAACCCAAATTGGCTCCCAACCAAATTGAATGAAGTTTATCAACTACATTGGAGAACTTTTAATGTACATGCACGGAGAAAAATGGATTGTTAAAATCATATATAAAAATTATATTGTAATCAGTACGAGAAGTTATTATTAAATCAAACAAACCTTGACACACGCTGTACAATATGAATATGTCTAATCAAAATTATTCTCACTATAATAATGATATTGTATTAAATATGATCTTAGATATTTAAATATATCCAAGAGCAAATAGATAATAAACATTAAAATATAGTTTATTAACGAAATGGGTTTATTATTTGTGTATAATACAGTTTAGTATATAACACATTCTAAATGAAAACCTTGCGGTTGAAAGATTGTTAGTTTAACAACCCATCTAATAATTTTTAACATATGATGTAATTGTAATGATGCTGAATCTGCAAGATAAGCATAAGCTTATTTTGAGAACAACCGTTGCAAAGGTTGCATTAAATTATTAAAAGCTCTGTATTGTATATTGTATGCGGTTTTTGTTCAGTCGACAGTCAGTTCAGTGCGTATGTGTCGCAATTTTGGTGAAGTTTATAGATGAATTCTATACCACTTATAATCATGAGTGATGTTCCAGAGATTTTGAGGGTTGGGCCAATACAATATGGCAGTATAAGTACAACAAAACTGTATTATATTGATTATTATACCTTAGTGTTGCAAATATATCATGATTTTTGAACTTATAATTTTATATATTCGAAACCAATATGTGTGTATCCTGATTTTTTGTAAAAAAAGAAGGTTATTATACACTGCCTTTTTTTGAGCCCCGAACAAAAAGATGTCTCAGATCGACCCGGAAAAATTTTTTTCTTATAGAATGTGGCCTGTAGAATCCATAATTTCAAACAGTTCCAGAATAGGGCTACTAGTTCAAAAGTTACAGCCCTTTGAATTTTCTTTCGAAATTGGTTTCTAGTCTATAACTTTTGATTGAAAAATCTAATCGAAAAAGTACGAATTGTTTTGGATTCTACGCACCAAAATTAATAAGAAGAAGTGTTTTCTGTCTGTACCTAACTGGATGCTTTCATAAAGTTATTAAGGTACGTTAAAGTAGAATATCAAATCAGGTTTTACTAATACATATACATCAAGCTTGTATGTAATTTGCAATGAATCTCAACTACTACAGAATCATGGCCGTAATTTATTCTTTTAACGGATTTTAGCTTTCAAACTTCCTACAATTCACCATTCCAAAATTGTTTGAATGAATTGAAATAACATCCTCACACTGATATTTTTTCAGTGAATTGAATTAAATTAATTTGATCTTTATTTCCCACCTTATTATTTCTCCACAAAACGTGAATTATGATGCGAAATTATACACCATGAAAAAACAAGTTGCGTATATCTAAAATAATCAAGATGTTAGTATTTTACAATTTACAAAATGTATACGCAAGCCTATAAGAACAATAACGTATCCAAAAATCATTCCAGTGAAAAGGCATCGATTAACAGACTGAAAAGGGGTTTGCTTATGAGTTAAAATAAGAGAGAGAGAGATGAAAGTATATGTACGATTTTCAGTTCTTTAACCTTTTGATGGGGTAACCGTATTCAGTGGCTTATAATTAATTGTTTGTCGGTTCCACTAAAACCGATTTTTTCTTTGGTGGTTGCTTTAATCAAATGACGTTGTTTCTGCAGTAGGATGAAAAAGCACAACCCTCGTTTAAAATTAGGTACTTCCCTATATTAAATATGTTTACTTATGATTCCTGCGCCACCTTATCCTTGATGAAGGGGACATTTTTTGGCATGTTTATTTGCCTAAATATAATAAATAAATAACAAATATTTCCACAAGAGTGCAAACCTTTTACCAGTAAACGTAATCCCTACCTTCAATAATAACGAAGGTCCTGCTAAAAATGTCCTGCAACATACATACGTATACCTACTCACTTACCTATGCAAGTCACGATGCAAATTAGCTGCACAAATTTCCGTTACTATAACAAATTTCTGCTTCTATAAAAAACCTTAATTTTAAAAATAGTCAATATCCAATTTTCCAGAATATATTGCAAATGGATGTTGTGTAAAACCGTTGAGTGAAAAATAGCAAATATTGTAGATGAAGTTGACATCCTTCATTTACACATGTTTAGGTGACCAAATTGTTTACTGCTCCATCTGCGAAGTATAATTACTTAAGCAGTTTTACTGTAAGCTAAGCGCAACAAATGTTGGATATAATAGTTATTTATATAACAAGAGCGCGAAGTTCAATTTCGCGCATTGAGACTGAAGGTATTTTGACGAGGCGAAGCCGAGTTAAAATATCAGTCAAATGCGCGAAATAACTTCGCGCTAGCGTTATATACAATATTTTTTCTACAACTGAACCGATTGTTAATTAAATTGCTGTTTATGTTCAACTTTGTCCCGTGCGCGAAATACTTTTTTGTATAACTGTCAATAAAAGTGACGTTTTTAATGGCTGTCAAGAGAGTTAAAAGATGACGTTTACAAGGTAAGATGTTAAAAATATTTTTAACACTAGTGTTAAAAATATTTTTAACGCTACCGTTTTTCAACCAAGTAGAAGTGATGGCGGTGGCAACGCAACGCGCATTCCAGCTTTATATATGGCGATAGTATACCTTATTCTTAGATATGAAGTAAAATCGTAGCTCCCATGTCGATGCGATGAAGTGAAAGCGAAATTCTACTCGTTGTAACCAATGCGTCTATGTGTGTGGACCGTAAAAGGAGTAGGTACATCATCCAAGTAACCAACTGTATACAAATTCAGATGATTATATTATAATTTATGAACATTAATATGAATAGTACAATTGGAACAGTTGCTGATATTAATACCTTGAGAATTTAAAGAGCTTTGCAACAAATTAGAATTAACTGATTTGTTAATTTCTTGACCATTAGCAATCATATCCTGATGTGAAGTGGATGATGCGCCTGTAATGGTGGAGCTAGGTGTTGGAATAATTCTTTCAGCAATCGCCTTTTTGTGAGTAATAGACTGGTCGAGGTAACCCTCGGCTACTGATGTAGACTTCCATCCTCCGTGCTTCTTTATTTCGGTGATATTTGCTCCTGATTCCGCCAACAAAGAAGCAGACGATCTTCTAAAACAGTGTCCTGTATACGCCTTTGTGTCCGGAAGATTCAGAAACTCGGCAATGGTAGAGGGCATTTTTCCAAACGTGTTTATACCAACTGGGTTGGCAGTGCATTTGTAATTTGAATATTTCAGGAAAAAACGACGATGATTGATAACAGAAGGGCGTAATGCAGCGTACTTACTAAAATAGTCAACGTATTTTCCAATAATGCAAAAAGAACGACTAATTTTTGTTTTCGTGTTGGGAATTTGAACAATTAACGATGTACCTGCTAATTCAATATCTTCTGTTAATAAATTACATAGCTCTTCACGCCGACAGGCTCCATATATTCCGAAAATAGTGGCAACTTTCACCATCAAGTATTTTTCATCTGGTGCCTCGTTTAAAAATCTTTGAACTTGCTCAAACGTAAGGGTTTTTGATTTTTTGGGACTGTAGCCTTCATTTTTCCGCTTTAAGAAAGCGATTACCTTGAAATATTTGCTCACATCGACACCATTTTTAACGAGCGCACTCGCCTTGATCATTGAAAATTTACTCCACAAAGTTGACGAGTTCCATATTTTAGATTTCTCTTCCAAATAAGCTAAAAATACGGGTTCACTGAAGTTTCCTTCCACTTTTTTAATTCTACACCAGCTGAGAAAATTAGAATATGCAATGTCATACTGTTGAGCTGATTTTTTCGGTAATAATTCAAACGTAGCTCTTTTGGCAGCCTCTTCAATATCGCCAGGAACACACAATTCATCAGTATTATTATTCTCCATTACGCGAAATTAAGCTTTAAACACTAGCAAGAACTTTAAAAAACCACAAGAACAAAACAGGGTTGTTTGTTGGTAACTAAGGTGATTCGGCGTGTCCTAATACAGTCACTTCACAGCCAATCTGATAATAATTACTGAAACGTCAGAAATTAATTAACATAGGTATGACAAATGACGCCAGCATGTGATCTATTTTATTATCCAAAGGGAGCAGTTCTTAGAGAAGAATTAAGGAGCAGTTATACAAAAAATGTTGTATGGTATTCGTGTTAAAAGTAAGTATTACTTAGTTCGTGAAATTGCTCCACTCGCTTCGCTCGTTTCGCAAACTTTTTCACTCACAAAGTAAAACATTACTTTTAACACTCATATCATAAATAGCTATTTTTCACTGTTGACGATTTCGCGCACGTTGTCAAGAGCAACCTTACTTATTAATTAACCGATTAAAAATCTAGTACTTCGCGTTTCGAAATCCGTCAGAAAATGACAGGTTTTTTTGACAGTTGTAGAAAAAATATTTTTTAAATTATGTAGATGTGCGCATCCTATTCATGCTAAACTGTTTGTTGGTATGGGTATGTATATTTTTATGTGATCAATAGATAATAGGTACACTTTTTTCTTATACAATGTAATTACCAGTTTTGTTTCCATACATCAAAGTTTACGGAAACTTTTCCTGCAAAAAGAACACAGCAGGCAGCAGGTTAAAAGAAATGAACGGTGTTTTTTCTTGTTATAGATGGAAAATCTTTAGCGGTATCAAGAGACTGCAAATTCATTGAAACGTCAAGTGGAATACAACATAATGTAGACGAACTTTTAGTAGGTATACTAAAACAAATAAGACTTCGAGAATCGAGGGAAAAGAAGAAAGCTACAAGCAAAAATAAGCTGCACGGTTCGAAAACAAGCCTAAGTTTAAATATTGCCAGAGAAATACTACAGAAAATTTGTATGAATGACATAAGCAAGTCAAAATCTTGTGAGAATTTGCACGTTCTCTAAAAATCTGTTCGTATCTAAGTACTTCCAATTTCGCACGTTACAACTCTTACCTTTTTTGGCAACCTTATAGGAAGATGAAGGAAGTAATATGTGGATTCTTGTAAAAAGTTGTTAAGCAGCCTAATCTTTTAGACTACTATAGCATGAGGTAGTATTTCAAGTAATAAAGCATGTGATTGAAGAACTATTTTGATAAATAAGTACTTTAAATTAAGTAAGCCAAAGTATGTGTTCGTGACTTGGAGACTGCTTTATCGTTTGTAATACATCCTTAGATTTAAGATTTCATGTGATATTTAAAAGTATTGGTAGTGATTTCCCAGTTAATTCTAAACTTTTATATGAATCATACTGAACATAGTGTAGTTTAACTTTAAAGTCTATTTCCTGTGTGAATGAAGTTGGTTTATTATATCCATTAATTTATAATGTACTTTTATTAATTGTTACCAGGGTATTTAAAACATCCCTTGAGGTAGTGCAGGCCTAAATATGTTTGTAACTAACAATAACTATCATAATAATTATACCGTTTTAAGTAGGTAGGTAGGTAGGTGTTGTAAATGTGATGTGCTTAATGTTTGTCTGATGTGAGACATGTGCTCACCTTATGCTTCACTACCCCCTCATACTGAATTGCGTACCTATGCAAAATTAACACTTTTTTAGTTTCTACCATTGTTAACTGTAGATCTAGAGTAGTGTGTTAGGGGGGATAGGTTCGTTCGTTATACCTAGATGCGCTTCTTTGGATAATAATTGTTACTTAGTCGATACCTACTGTTAAAAACTATTTAAATAACGATTAAGTATAATCCACTAATGCGTGTTGATTTCTTATTAGACAGAGCCTTAAATATTAATGTTGTAATTATAAGGGAAATGTGAAATTTTAAATGACATATCTATTTTCTACTTTATTATAAAATGTCTCTGAATATATATTTTACATACTGCTAACTTTACAATGACAATCAAGTTTTAGATGAGCTAAGTACATTAGGTTTAAGAAGTGTAGCCATTTGTTAATTGTTGTGTGGAAAATAAATCAGCAATAACAATTTTAGGGATTAATATCTATTATAATATGGTCCCCTTAGCAAATATTTTATTCACTTATCGACTATTCGCCGATTAGAACACAGATCGCATGCGGCGATAGCTTTCATTGGATCAAGTTGGTTACGAAATGCATGTAGGTGTACCTATATCAAACTCGGTGGAGATTTTCCAATGCATAATGGCGTGTTCTCGTCTTTGTAGATGGAAGTGTTGAATCATCCTTTTGATAGTTTGGACGATTTTTGCAGAAAAATTCGCACGCTGCGGCTGTGCGCAGAAGTAAATCGCAACAAATTCATCTTGTTGAAATTTACATACACGGTGAGTCTCTATAACTTGGAATAAGTTCAGTAAAAAGTCTTTTTTCGGAAATAAGTCTGGACAACTTCGCTGTTTTTAGTAAAATTGCGGGTTCAAAATTTGAGATGTGACGTGCTGACGTCATTGGCTATATTGTCAAGATTTTTAACATAAGTAGAATGCCAATAGTATATTGAAAGACAAGTGTTACAATGCGACCTATTGTAATACGACTATCTTGTGGCACGAGTGGCGACGCGAAGCGTAGCCACGAGTGTCCGCAAGGTAGGAGTATTACAATAAAGCATTGTAACACGCGTTTTTCATACTATTTTTTTTCTATTTCGGTGCTTTAATTTAATTTAAAAAAATCATTATCAGAAACTATAGGGAACATTAGAACTAACATGTTTTATGTTGGGAACACTTTTTATGCCGTTAAGTTTTAGGTTGGCAGCGTAGTAAGACCGAGTAAGACTGACATTTTGAAGTTCAAACATGGAAGTACCCAACGAAGTACCTACTTGTACTAACTAGTAACTGCCAACTTAAGAGATGAGTTACCAAAAAAAAACGACTATAATCACTGTCTTTGTGCAACTGTTTTCGGCCAAAAACAGTTGTACAAAATCATCATTGTGACACCGAAATAGAAAAAAGATATTAGTTTATCGTTTTTTCTCGAACTGACGTCTCATTTTGACATCCTATTACCTACAATGGTAAGTAGGTAATAAGTTACAAAAATAAGTGGAGGTACGTGTAGCATGGCAATCGACGCATTTGAGCAAGGAGACCATTAGCCGGTTTGAGTGTTTGTCAAAAAATTAGGCAAAAAATGATGAATTTGAAATTTACTCTTTAATTAATAATTGTGATAAGTAAAATAATTAGGGTTACTTAAAAAAATAGTGGATGGCGTCATATCTTAAATTTGGAACCCCTGTATAAAATTTTAATACATCAAATAGAGTGCAATTCAAAATGCTAATTTGAAGTGTCCGAGAATATTTCCGAAAAAAATCTTGTTTGATGTACTGATTTCGTTATGTACGTGGTTCCAGTTAAGTCTTCATAAAAGTGTAATGGATTAAAGTAACGAGTTCAATAAAACTTTGCGCAAATTACCTTATTTTCTAGACTCCTTGGAGTTCTACTTGATTTTCGAAACGTTCTTCTTGATATATGTTAAATGATTCTGAGCGGTTCCACCTTGTATATATAACCTACGCTGACGCGCACATTTTTAAGAAATCCGGCAATGGCAATACCGCAAGTATAGAGGGGAAGACATCGATTTGCGAGTTCTTTTTGATTCATCTTACTTGGAGTATCCCTTGATTTATTTTATTTATTTATTTTTGCCTTTATTTTTGAGTGGGCGGGGTTTCAGTTAAGTCTGCTCTACCAACCCTGCACTATACATTTAGAAATATCCATGCCCGAACCCGGATTCGAACCAGGTTCAGTTTATTAATTCAATTTTAAGATGTTAAATTTTCGCATTTATAAAAGTTTTACTTTACATAATGTATTTTACCCTTTTGTGTTATGTACTGCAAAGGTTCCTTTAATGTGTTACCTATACCCTGGTGTACAAGATAAAGGATGTCTATATCATGGGGACCTCCGAAACCATAGAAGATATGACGATGGTCAAATTACTAATTAGAGAAAAGATGAGCAATTAAAGAGGCATTATTATCATACTTTAAAGAATCCAGGAAATTCCGTTTATGGAGAGAGTTCTGAAAGGTACAGATGGGGTTGTATATATGGTTTATGATGGTTTAGCACAGATTTAAATATACTAATTTACGTCTGTGGTATTAGTCATTGGTTCTACACAAGAGGAACATGTGCGTTTATAAAAGATACCTTAATAAAGCGTTTGGGAGCTCGCGGTTTAACCGTACGACAAGACAAATATAGTTTTTAGAGTACTGAATATTTAGGATATCGTATAGATAGACATGCATACCTACGTGTCCTAAAAATATTAAAGCCATTCAGGAAGCGCCCCGTCCCAAAATGTGATTTAATTACAGGGTTTTCTGGGGATGATAGCTATTATAATAAATTTATACCGAGTGTGGAACTGCACGTAAACATGCATTTAAAAGGGTTGTAGACATTTTAACTTCCGCGAAAGTACTGATAAAGTTTGATCAAAGCTTACCCATCAGCTGTTAACGGTTGATGCCTCTCACTATGGACTAGGGGCCGTAATTTCACATGTTACCGATGGTAACGTCGAAAGACCTGGATTTTATCTAAACACCAAATTTGATATTCACAAATGGAAAAGGAAGCATAGGTACCCACACTATAACATTCTAAATTTTTTCAATATTTGTAAGGGCAAAAGTTTACACTAGTAACTATGCCATAAACCTTTGATTACCAAATTTGGACCCAAAAACGAAATTCCCATTATGACAACAAATAGGTTGAAACGTTGGGCGTATAGGTATGTGAAGTCGGACCAAAATGTTGCAGCTGGTCTATTGCGCGACTTCCAATTAATGAAACTAGTGAATATCAAGACTACCTATTTAAACTGTGTCAATGATAATTTTAAGGCTCAAAATAATAAAACATCAAACAATTTTTGAGCTTGTCCTTACGTTGATCGTCCATAAGAGACTAATATAAAACCTAGAATTCAGTCGACTTGTTTTTGAAGAAAGAAAATAACACTTAATTTGCAGTTATAGGTTTTTTTTATTGTATTCTTATTAAATGCTGTTTTTTTCAGTACAAGGCATGTACTACTAATTGAACTGGGTTTAGATTATTTAGAATCAATAAAAATACAAAATTTCTGCACAATATAATAAAAAGTATACACTAAAATAAACTTAACGGTATGAAATTGTTACAAATGAAAAGGCAAAACTATATTACAAATATGACAACCCTTATTTGTTGAAGATCTATAAAACTGTAAAAATAACTGGTAACAAATATGGTAATTATCAATCATATTCACATCAAACTCTGTGCTTAAAACGTATAAATCTATGATTTGTCACAAAATGAAATAGTACATGTTACGTAGTCGCTTTCACACTTCATACAAACTAATTTAATAATACTAATCCTAAATCAAGCAATTTACAAGTAATATATAATTTAAAATTCTAAGTTGGTACTAAACTTACTAAAAGCGTTAGCTTAAAATGAAGAGCTTCTGTAAATTTTGATTATTAAAACCTATTACTTTCGATCATGTTACGAAAATATATGTATCTTATACCTCTACTATATAAACAAAACCCTTTAAATAAAATTACTTGCAATGTACAACTATATGGAACCAATATTGCATACTGAATCAATTTAACTAGACAGAAAAGTACAAAAATGTTTCTTAAAATTTTGCTATGTGTGCAAAAGTTTAAGTAGGAATTATTCTCGTTTGATGGCTTGTGGTGCCTCGGCGAGACCTTTCACTTTGAGTCTGTCTGCAGTCTTTAGAAATGCAGGTAATTGTTCCTGACTTACATTTACTTCGCCCGCATACATAAATTCTAGAATTGCTTGAAGATGACTGTATGCTACGTCTTTAAGTATAATAATGGGATGTTTCGATGGGTTTTCCTGTAAGTCCATCTGTTAATACAATAATTGTCAAATTTACGTAGCACTTTACCTCTAGTAAGCTTTTGAAATACGGACTGCATGCTGACAAAACCATTTTATGAGCTTTACACGTCTGACCCTCGCAAGCTAGTGTAACATCTGTAAAACTTTTTTCATCTCTTAGATGTCGAAAGGAGGAAACCATATTACTTTGAAAATCGTTCCATTTTAAGAAAAACTGTTGTTGATCTGCCATATTTTTGCTGAAACGAAATACGGAAACATCAGTTTGATTTAAAAACAGGTGTAATGTTTACAGCTACATTTTATTGACTTACATAACCCCATTTGTAAACCAACTTAGAAATTGAGAGGAACAGCCAGCATGTCGATTAAATCTCGACAAACTTACCTGTGAAATAGTTTTTAAAACTTAATTAGGAATTTATGGTTAAAAAAATGGAAAATTTAAGCAATCATTACTATTCACTAAAACAATTTATTACGCAAGCGCTGCGTTAAATGCAATTCTTTGTGTTGTCATCATCAAAAAGAAAATCACTAGAATTATAGGCGCTAAGTTTAATTTTGTGTACTTTTAATATTTCGTTATGTGCCATTTCTTAAATAATAATATAAACGGCGGGTATCGTTTAACAATAAATAATGCCATCAATTAAATAAAAATAATATAAAAGCAAACCACACTAACCTAATTCAAACTGCGACGGCTAGGACATTAGATCTACTACGACAAGTATGAACTACCAAGGAACGAACTAATTCTGTACAGGATGAACAGGTTGTACACTATGCAAGTTCATAATTATGTTACAAAGCGCGTTCTGGATCCTTTACAATGCCAGAATGCGTGCTGGTAATTATTATCATATTGTCAGAACACTTAAAACAAGCAGCCAACACGTTCAAAGGCCAATACAGTATGAAAAAATGTATTTATTTTTTATGTATGACATTCAAATTTAAAAATAAATGGATTAAAAATTACGGTAAGTAATAGCAGACGTCCAAATTCATTAATTAATATTAATAAAGCTAACGCATTTTTCAGGGCAAGTCTACCTCAAGGCACGAAACAAATCGAGCAGTTTGTTATTTGTGTTCTCTACGCCTACGCGTTCTGGCAATAATAACGAATGCCAGTGTACTGGCATTGCAATTAAACAATCCAGAACGCATCCTGGGGTACATTAAACAACCAGAGGTCGGGTTTTTATCATTGGAAATATTCTGGTGGGGTGGACAGAACGCGAGTTGGCCACATTTTTCCCAAATTGCCCGATCATAACACATGAAAAAATTGAGTGGATATAACAAACACTTTCTTCCAAATAAATCAATTTCGCTCAAAAGGCGCGAAATGTGTGTTTTTCTCTAATTTTTTTCTCGGCATTTCATGATGAAATCAAGCGGTTTAGGATCATCCCGGCATTGTAATAAAGCCCCATCATGTTAGCCCTTGCAATTTAAAAAAAAATGTGTAATGAAAATTTTTAAATAGTGTTAGGATTACGTTCACTTGTGCTGATCTGGAAAATCAGTTTTCCTCGAATTGAATCGCGGGAGCCAATTTGAGCTCCCCGGTATTTAAGGTACAAATTCCACTACTACTTAAAGAGTTGTGCTCGATGCATATTGAATTGTGCCGGTCAAATATTCAAACATACTCTTGCGGTACGCGGTAGTCCCTGCACTTAAGCCTCGGGGGCCAACTTCACTCGTAACCCTCAGTTTTTTCTGTATAAAAACGAAATAAGCAATAATGACAATCAATTATGCTCGATGCCGTTCAAATTTTTGAAAATAGAGTCTTACGGTACACGGTAGCTCCTGTACTCAAGTTTCAAAATCCTTGAACTTGACTATTAGCCTCCACGTGTTTACAATATGAAATCAGCAATAATGGAAACCAGTTGTACTCGATGCATACTGGATTGTAAAGTAGGGCCTAAAACGGAGCCTTGAGGGCATCCCTTGCTCACCTCTTTGGTTACACTTTGAAATTTATTGGCATAACATACGATTTTCTAGGTAAATTTTTCTGAAATTTAATGAGTAACTGTCACTACTTAATGTTTTAATTCTAAAATAATTTATGGCCATCGTAAATTATAAAATGCCCCTTTTACATCTAAAGATATTGCTAGGATATATTTCTTTTTTTGAATTTTTGACTATATTAACTCCTACTTTTTTATAATTAAATTGCCATTCCATTCTTTAAGTAGGCGTTGTATATTCTTTTTAGTTTTTTTCCTATGTAGATTTTTTAATTTAAATTATTTCGACATTTATTAAATCTGGTTCTGGAACTTTTTTTTTCTTTTTTTTGTGAACTGCATTTTTTATTTCACTGTGTGAATTTTACTATTTCTTCATACCTTGGTATAGGAGTTTTAAAAATCTTTCTTTAATTTATGTGTATCTTATTGTTTTCTTTAAAATCATCATTTGGAATTAAACATTCTAATAATTTAGTTGCAGTTTCTAATCAAGCAGTTGTTATGCCACCATTTCCATTCCAAATTGTGTTTATGCTAGGTATTTTTCTTTTTTGTTTCTTGAGATTTTATAGATAGGTCCTCAGGGCTCTTAATTTAATTTTTTATTGTTTATTATATCATTTTCTGTCAAATTTTGTTTTATAATGGCTTCTAAAATATTTTTCTTGTCTAACTCTGCATCCACGTCATATAGCATTTTATTTAAATCCTCTTTATTGCATCTTTCAATAATTAATATGCAATCCTTTCTTGTTGTTCGTATTGTCTTGATGTTAAGGTTTTCTTAGTCGGATTTATTATTTTCTTTAGTTTAGTGCGGATTTCTTCCCTTTGTTTACTTGGACTATTTATTATTATGACATTATTCGGCTCCCACTCTACTGTTTTTATGGTATTTGCTTATTGACATTATTTTTTTCATTAGTTTTTCATGCAGCTATGTTTGCATAAGTTGTTTGTGTATTATTTGCAATTATATCTTTAATTTCTTCAACTTTGTCTTTATTTTTCTCATGACACTCAATAATTAATTCCCTTTAAATAGGCAACTTTTTGTAGCACTAACTACACCTTTTAGACTCTTAATACCTTTAAATAATATTTTTTGTCATATTTATTTATCTTGTTATTGGTATTTAATGACAGGTCTACTATTTTGTTCTCGGGTTCACTAATAAATACAGTCGCATTGACGTTGGTAATTTAGTATGGTCCTGATTCTTTCCGTAGTTTCGTGTTTTTTTCTTTACTTTCTTTTCCTTTTTCGTTTCATTCCGTCATTGGTCTCTAGCTGTTGATTAATGAAATCCCAGATTATAAAACCCAAATACAATGTAGTGTAGCCAGCAATACCTTCTGCGAGATCGTGTCAAACACTTTAGAGGAATTTAATAATATTAGTTGGGTAACATTTCCAACGGCTCTTGTTTGTAATACATCATCTGTTACTTGTGCCGCAGCTATGTTTCGATTTAAGTCCAGATTACTGTTCGGGCAAAATATCGTTTAGCGTATCTTCTGAGTTGGGATTCAATGGCTTTTTCCATTTCCTTTTGACATAATGGGTAAAATTCTTTTCATACTTATAGCAATGCCATCATGTCCAACAATGTTGGATTTTATTGTAGAAATGTACATAAACACTTTCATTTCTTCAAATTCTATGCAACGTTAAATTAGATCCAACTCTATCATTATTACTATAAATATTATATTGGATTAATTTAGAGCTGTTAATAGTTTAAGTGGGAATATTATTGATAAAGAAGTTGTTAATCTCATCTGGATCTGATAAGTAGGTACGAAAGGGAGTACACGGGAGACGTCATTACACTTTTTAGTATAGTTGACCTACCTCAAATTATACCACAATGTTTTAGAATCATTTGCCCTAAACCTACTTCCATAGTAAGCTTTCTTTGCTCTTTCACTGTGTTAATTGCATTTCGGCCACGCAGTACTTTGCCTGTCTCGTTTTTTAGTATTTATTCAAAGCTCTATCTCTGGCGCTCATCATGAGCTTTAAACTATTATTTAACCACGGAGAAGCTCGTATTGTTATTTTTGCACTTGCAAAGTGAAGTTATATTTTCATTAATTCATTGAACCTGAGTAACAATATCATATATATTTTTCTTTGGTACATATAGAACGCAAATGATCATAGAACGGAACCTCATTAAAATTGCTAAAATTCCGATAAGTCTTATATAGTACAATCTGAGGTGGTTTAGAAAACTCGCTCTCACACCACATCAGCTCGTTGCGAGCTATCTCTAGGACGTGGATGATACCGCAGTAATCATTAGTTATCATATCACTTACAATTTATAACATAACACGAGTGAGGGCTTAATACTTTACTTCTTATCGTAGTTGGAACTGACTGAAACACAATTCGATTTGCTTATATCTCTTTCTCAAAAGTTGTCGAACGCTTTCGAACGCTACCGAGTATTCTAGAATGTCACAGGTTACATTTCAAATGCGTTACATCCGGTTTTGTTTCTAATCGCCGATGACTAATCTTTTATAGCGCCTCGATGTTTATCGAAATTTCTAGAATATTCGATACAGTATGAAACACTATTAATTATTAAAGATTAGAAGCAAGCGTTTAAAGACTCCCAAAGGTTCTTAAATCACAATTAATAAATCGAATTAGAGGTTTTTAAACAGATAAATAAGTCTAAGGGGGTTTAAAGATTCTTAGTTTCTTGATTACTCTTGAGCCAGGTTCGTTGAAGACTTCCGAAATTCTTAAACACTAAAACCTTCTAGAAGGTTCACTATTTTAATTATTTTAAGTATTGAATCCGAATTTCGAGTTTGTTGCCTTGCAGGGATCAGTTTCATAACGAAAAAGGCACATCATATCATTCCCTTATGGCTGCAAATATGTACGTTTTTCGAAGGTGATCACATTATACAACATTTTCTATATACTTATAATAAGTACTTGATTTTGTGATGAGTTGTTAGCCCTTGACTGAAACATATAAGTCTATAACACAGGAGACCAAAGCAAAGATATAGAACAATAACAAACTAAGATCTTACAAAAGCACAACATAATATAACTGTCTAGTATTTCTTTTTATAAACCCAATCATTTTAAAAGACAGGAAAGTACATAGACGTTTTCCAAGAAATATATATCACACATTTCTTTATATTTAACAATACACCTACCTAATTTATTTTTGATACACCAGTTATTAAGCGCTTCTAAATCCTCTCGCAAAGCCAATGAATCCAAAATATAGATTATGTCCTTGTAAAGCTTCAAATCGTTAGGGTGGTAGAATATTCGTATCATTCGCGGGACACTCTGTATATTGCAGTGATGCTCTGCGAACAAATAAATCGTTAATAATCAAATACATAATGTAGCAATGCTGATATACGGACTATGCATTTACCAGTAGCTCCGAAAGTGCAAAGCGTCTCATAGTTCGTTTAACACTAGCATTTTAACAGGAACAAAGTAAGTTTACCGTCTCTTTTAACGTTGAAAGATGGTTCAAGTTCTAAGATTTAAT